ATATACTCAGTCTTCAATATACATTCAACTCCCTTTAGAGTTCCCATTCGAAGTCAATAGAAGAAATTCCCAAGTGATCGACAGAATCATTCACACGTGAACTAATTATATCAAACCACAATCATTAATCCCCCGCTATGGGTTGATTAGGGCAATCCCTTGGGTCTAATCTCTTTGGCTTTTTTGGGCGATGACCCAAATCCAATAGTGATAGGTAGGTGAAATGAATACGCATTCATTAAGAAAAGTAGTTGATTTATTCGAATGTAAGTTCTTATAAAAAAAAGAAAGAATGTTTGTAGTGAACTTCAACAAAAAAAAATGGACTATTTCAATCAAAAATTTTATTAATTTGCATTAATGTCAGTTTTTGAAACCTTAGTTGTTTAGATTTTTCGTAAAAAACTTATAAAGATAGTTTTGAAATTTAAGATAAAAAAATGTATACCTAAGTACAATAATTTGGAGTTCTTCTAAAATTGAAAAGATATCGAATAGGAAAAGGAAATTAAAGAACAACAACATGAGTCAGGGTTGCTAGTAACCACTAGTAAAGATCGAGATTCACTTCAATAGGAAATTGTGGAAATAAGATCAAAGGTGAAATAGTGCTTAGAATCTTATGTAAGTTACTTTTCCAAATACAACTTCACCTAACTACAAACCGTACTTGGAAAACCTGTCAAAGTCTTTTCAGCACACTGGAATTAAAAGATCCCTAACAGAAACTACACAGCAAAACTTCCCTTTAATAACTAGCAATAAGGTATATGTACTTCAATAAATATAATTAAGGTCGGTCCAAAATATGGCCCAATAAGCGCACGCAATTCCACGATTACGTGATTGTGGAAATGTATGGATTTAAGTACCACTTTTCATCCAAAAATACTCTACGAGCACACGCCGTGGTTCACATGGCAAATCTTAAAAGTAATTTTACTTCTTTGATATTTATAATTTAATATTTAATATCGCTATTATGAGCTGAACGAATTATCTGAGAGTAATTCATAGAAATCCACTTTTTGCTGTCGTAAGTTTAGGCTCATTGAATTATTTTCAAACTGATCGTTTTTAAATGAAATCAAGTTCAGTCTTTTGTGTTTTTTTGAAAGATTTAAGAAAATGTGTCAATGTACAATAAGAATTTAATTTTTTATACAAAATTTTACAATAGTTAACAATTTTCCTTTAATTGAAAAATGTTATATAATATATATTTAGTGTAGTTTGTAGTGCTTTGCCTGGCCCAACAGCCTGTAAATATGATTACAGTTGGAACATCTACGAAAATTGTAGACTGCCTCTGGATACATTAAAGATATTTGATTCGATTTAGAACAAAATTGAGGAGATCAGTTAATTGTTAAAATACGAGCTCCTCTCGACATCGGTCTGTTTCAAATAATCAGTGTATCAGTTCCCTACTACGTGATATGTTTTTTTATATAACTAGCGTGTTAAGCTAATGTAAATACCTACTTAGAAAATGTAGGTAAGCAATAATCTTCGATTAACCTCGACTGAGTTACACTACACTTCGTAATGTAGGAAAATTTTCTCTATTACCATTTAAAGCAGCTATTCGAGTGGAGCGGGAGGTAATTGTACATGCAATCACACACTTTTCACTATACCTCCAACCACGCCGCTTTTCATACCATTATAATGCCGGTGGAATTGGTAAGCTGTGTTTATTTTCGATACCGGTCTCGTGAAAAAAGTATTTAGTGCAAAAGAGGCCGTTAACGTGCCAGCTAAAGAACAAAGCTTGGAATTTCATCAGTGTTGCTTGATCTATCTATAACTGCACAGCGTCTGGGTAAAAGTCCAGTGAATGGCAATCTCTATCCATCTCTAAATTCTTTGAGACTCATCACTGATGAAAAGCAGGTTATGTCACATATTGTTAGATATTATCTAAAAGATTTTTTGAAAACATTGTCAATCTGTAAAACTGTGATCTGTCAAAATATTATATTGTAGTACTATTAAAAACGATTATTATTTATATTCTGAAGTAGGTCTGAGTCTCCCTCTCACCCCGCCAAGGCGATAGAAATCGTTTGATCATTTTCTTTACTCAAAACAAAAAAAGTCTAGAACACAGATTATTGGCAAATTTTCGTCGCACAGACGTTCCACATTTCCATTTCCGAACACAAACATAAACTAATTTTATCAAAGCCTAAAACATCGAACGGTTTCGTGGAACGTTCTAATTTTCGTTCAAATCGAGTTGCATGTCAAGCTAAATAAATATTCTATGAAAACGAATCACAAATGAAAACATTCAACACTATTATAGAATAAAGCTATTCAACAATTAAATTAGTTTGCGTTACGATAACAGGAGTAGGTAAACATGAGGGAATTCTAATAAAAAAACCGATCGATCGAAAACAAACTGATGTATAGGGCCGTTCATTTATTGAAGACAAACAGAGAATCTAGGCCGTGGGTGCGCCATCATTGAAGAACGGTTTGAGGATAAGTAATTGTTTTGCAGAAATTTTTATTTTCATATTTTACTTTGTGTCTGCGTATTCAATTTGCATGTGTGCATGTTAATGAAAGGAATAAATATAATATGATTAAAGAGATAATCATTATATGTACCTATATATAAAAATGGATCGAAAATGTATTGGTAAACGCATAACTCAACAACGCCTGGACCAATTTTGGCAATTATTTTTTGTTGTGTTTGTTATTGTTAGGAGAAGGTTCTTATCAAAGAAAATATTAGAAAAATAGAGGGGAAAGATTGGGAAAAAGTGACCCTTTGATAGCGAGATAGTAGGACCCGTGCGAAGCGGGGGCGGACGGCTAGTTTTTATATAAATATGGAAAATATGTGTTTTAGGTAATCATTTGCTCACTCAGGCAAAATTCGATCGATTTAGGTAAGATTAAAAAAAAGATAACAAATAATACCCCTGTCTGCTAGGTCAGCCGGGTATACAAAAAGTTCACCCCACTATCTCTACCTTACATCGTCACATTATAAAACGCTATCTTTCACACAATACAAAAGTCCCCATAATCCCAAAATGGACGGTCACAATACTGAAGGTAAACCCTATTAGAGTCCCAACAAAATGGTTCAACTTGCACAAGTTTACTTCAACCTTTATTTGTGCAGTATTCACACGTAAATGTACAATCGACTTGAGTCTTTTGTACCCAACTACCAAATGGAGGATTATGTACACATGTTTCATTTTATATAATATGTTATGTGTTACACGAGTGCCTTTTTTTTATGGGTAAAATCATTAAATTACTTTTCTCTCCTCGAGAACGAATGTCAGAATCTTATCGACTGTAAACAACCCCCTCTCTTCTTTAATCTCGGGGCTGTGATACAAAATTTCACTGGGACCCGCAGCCCCAGCTGTATTCCTCGCCGTCCACAGACTCACACTCACGGTGGTCAGTGATCTTCATGACCCGATGCCCGGAGAGTCTCCTAGGGCGGGTGGGGCGTGTAGCTGAAAATATGACTGACACGCTAAAGATTTCGGGTCTGTTTCCAGAATCTGACAAGATGTAACAGAGATAGATTTAGTTATTTAAAACTTCTCCGTAGTAGAACAGAGTTTAAAATTGACTGGTGTTATAAAATCGCCGAAATTAAAATAAGGAGTATGTCACAAAAATAATAAAGAGTATGTGCACATATGTAACTGTTAGGGTATACATATGTATGCAAGGGTTACATAGGTACGTTATAAACTTCAATACTAAAATTGTATGAGAGCAATTACCGAAGCTTTCACTCATTCTTTTCCTTAGAAATTTTGTTCGTAACTAGTTTTTCAAGAATTTTCGATTGACCGGTTTCCTTGTAACTCCAAATTAGTTCGAGCACAGTTTTATTGAATCAAGTTTTTAGTGCTAAATCGGCTGGAAATTATAATCAAAAATAGTATCGTTAGAATAAGTTGGACAATGTTAAGTTTAATATTTATATCACACTATAAAGAAATCAGATCAACAATAACATTTTTATAAAGTATTTAAAAAACCATGATTATACTATTACTACCATTCGACTACCTACCTAATTTATCGTACCTGATTATCTACAAAACATTACAAAACGAAGGGATCCCTAGTTAACTACACATCCATCAACTTTGTTGACTGTCCCTGCGTAATGTGGCCCTACAAACACACGAGTGGACAGTTCCTTGATTAAGTTCGCTCTGTCAATATTTTTAAACCGTTCATGGCGTTTCTCTTATTAGTATTTGCCGGTACTTGAGTTGTGTCAACTTGGAAGAGTTTGCTAGTGAGACTTTGTTTTTAATTAAAATATTTGCAGGTTGTTTTAGTTTGTTACTTATATGATTTTTTTTATGTAAGTAGCTCTGTTTTTATAATAGGGCATGTAGGATTAAATAATCATTGTTGAATATTTTTTTAAGGGAATTAACGGAAAATGAGCCCGATTTAAGGTTTAGGGGATTTAAGAATTGTGGATAGGACGGATTTAAGCATTCTGCAACCTCATTTTTATTTCATTAACATCGGAACTGCTAAAAGAGTTTTATAATCAGAACGGCTAAGGAGTAGAATTCTTTGCCGGAGTCTGTATTCTTCGAAGGGTATTATACCCTGGGTGTCCTCAAAGCCCGACTGACAGACTACTTATGGGTAGGCGTATTACATCGTGAGTCGCATCATCGCTTAGTCGTTATAGCGGCCAAATTCGAAATAAAAATAAAGATTTATATATAAAATACAACAACAAAATACAGAATACAACTAGCTGTCACAAATACGAAGCACACATAAAATTACACTACAGCGTTGTGGAATTGAATTTTATGGCATCTGTCTATCTGTGGAGCGTTTGTACCGAGAAATAGTTGCAGATAAATCATGGAGTGGAAGCAGCTTTATTTCCATTGCTTACCAATGTAATTGTGTATATTTAGAAACACTAGTTTCTATGGAGTTACTGTTTGTAGATTTTTTTTATGTGATAGGTCGGCAAACGAGCAGACGGATTACCCGATGGTAAGCAATCAGCGCCGCCCATGAACACCCGCAACGGAGGAGTTACGAGTGCGTTGCCGACCTTTTAGGGATTAGGGATTTGGATATTTAGGGATTGAGGAGGGATTGGGGGAGGGGAAGAATTGGGCCTCCCGTAACCTCACTCACACGGCGAAACACAACGCTGCGGTTGTTTCACACCGGATTTCTGTGAGGCCGTGGTATCACTCCGGTGATACAATCCGATAATATTTCGATAGTATTGATAGTATTGAAGATTGTTTAGTTGTAGAGGCAATGATTTCAAATGTTAATCATATTACTTATCTATAAGTATTTATATTGGTTTAGTTTCGAATCATCATCATCATCGTCTAAGTGCCCACTGTTGAGCAATGGTCTCTTCTCACAGGAGATGGAACGACCATTATTAGCCCCGGCCACTCAAAGCGGATTAACAATTGATTAGTTGCAGAAATAATCTATTTTTAAATTAATTTAGCATTTTACTAATATTATGAAAATGTAATTTGACAGTTGTAAGCTTCTTTATATATTTATCATCTGTATAAATTTTATATATACAATTGCATATCGGAGGACTTAATGCTAGAAGCATTTTCTGCCAGTCAACCTTTTGGTAGTGCAGAGATGTGTGGTAGGTGATATACAGCAATTTAGGAAGTTACGTGAAGTAGAGGTGTAAATCAATTCTAAGTTACAAACATAAAAATAATATATACATATATAAATATATAACTGCATTTAATTACATTAAATATAAACACTAATACACTTTTAAATTTAGCAATAAGATAGATTGTAGTCTACTACGGTATCCTGATTAAGAGCTATCAAAAGTTTATTTTAAAAGATTTCTCTTCAAAAAACGATGACCTTTAAACATTTTAAATTATTTAAAATAACTTAAAAATTTCGTCTAGAATGCAATTTCAAATCCGAATCATGTACAAATTAGTGTCACGTATTGCTGTAAAATTAAGTACCTAAAACAAAAAGCTAAGCTTTAAAACTTTAATTTGAATATAGACAGACACATTATTTCACTCTAACAAATTGAGCCATTATTTTAGCAGATATAATGAAAACTTGAGAAATTTTAGTCAGACATTCAGCGCTTTCACATTATCCGATCCGATCTTTTGTTTGATATTGAATATAGTTCAATATGTTGCAGCAGTTTTTTTGTAAGTCGGAAAACAAGTAGACGCTTTGTAAGCAATCGGCGCCAACATGGACACCCGCAAAACCAAAGGAGTTACTAGTGCATTGCCGGCCTTTTGGGGATAAGGGTTGCGGATATTTAAGGATTAGGAAGGGATAGGAGAGGGGAAGGGATTGGGCCTCCAGTTACCTCACTCACATGACAAAACTGGCTGTGGTATCACTCCGGTGGAGCTAATGCATTCGTGCCGAAGCATGGTTCTTCCACAGTTAAGCATGTTTTCGCACAAATTGTTCAGATATAACAATTCGCTTGCTTTAGTGCGCACATAGAGATATTTTAGATTAACGCGTTGCACACTCCTATAAACTTTATCGTCCGATATCCCACAGGAGTCCGATAAACGTGTTAACGATGCCGTGTCAGATCTTATACCCGATATTGGATCCGACACTATGAATACAAGACATACTAACACTGTTAAGGAACCCGAGCCATATTCAAGTCCCTCGAGTTAGAACAACATACAGGCAAAATTATTTTATGTTAAGAGCAGGCAAATCGTTCAGTGTAAGTTTTCTCCTGTGTCGTGGGTGCGTTTACAAACATACAATTTCACATACAAATGTCACCCAGACGCGAAACAACAATTTGTAAATCACATCAAAATGATGTTCACGGTAGCCAGTTGCCCAGCCACCGCGCCAACCGTTCAGTCAATGTTAAAATGAAATAACATGAAAAAAAATGACATTTAACTTAAGTCGTGTAATATGAATTGCTTTAACAACTATATTAGTTGTTATTCGTCTCTGAGTGGGGTCGGATTATAAGAGGTAATTGAGTTTTGGCTTCAAGTTGTATGAATATAATGTCAAATAAGCGTATGTAATCACTCGAACAATGCGAGTTAGTTTTAAGTTAGTCCTTAGACTAAGTCAAATTGTAAAGGCGTGAGATGAAACTCAATGATATTGTAATGTGATATTTAGTAGATTTGAGTCATATCATTCAATTTATTACTAAATAAGTAAAATAAACTACGTGTAGGTTACAAGTGAAAATGTAAATAGTTGATTTTTGTCGGGGTGTCGAGCTCCAGTTGTGCTGCTGGTGGTCTCAACTAAATAAAACCCCTATTTTCGATATAAAGACTGTATTATTCACAAAGGAGTATGGCCGATATGTGCGCACAGTAATGGTCGGTGAGCAAGAGTGGTGGGGTCCGGCGCGCGGCGTATGTTCGAGGGCCTAGCGCTGGTGGGGCGCACGATGACGCACGATGACACGGTGTCTCAGGCCGGCACGATGTGAAGGTCCGGAACATTTTTTTGTGAAAATTTCGAAACGTTATACTTAAATATGGGAGAGCCATGTTTTTGCACGTATGAGCCGCCTTCACCATAATGGGATCATAGATTACCAGAAAATTGGCATGAAACAGCGATTTTGTTGTTTTTCGCTCATCTCTAAATCCCAAAAAGCCGGAAATGCACTCGCACTCCCACTCCGGTGTTGCGAGTAAATAAAGTATTAAAATAACTTACATGTCGATGCAATAATTCGAAACGGCAACTATCATAACAAAATCCAATATGGACGATTTCAGGAGTCAATACAGTTCCAAATCCCGTGGGGATTAATCCAGTAAACATTTTATTTCTGCATCCAATCGAATTTATTCAGTCGATTTTTTCGTATCTCTAGTACCTACGTATAGTCTAGTGAATAGTCTGTGTTGTAGATGCCATACAAAATTTTGCTGAGTTTTTTTTGTAGAAGTTACAATTTTTTTTATTTAACTTACGTCTTTCTCGCGTGAAATAACTAAGAAAAGCTCTACTACGTCGCCGCGACGCGCACGTTGCTCATGAATAAGAGGCCCGTTGTGACTTGAAACTAATAGAGCTTTTCTCAGTTATTTCACGTGAGAAAGACGTTATCTATACGAATATTATAAAGAGGTAAAATTTGTAAGTTTTTATGCTTGTAAGTTTGTATGTAGGGGGTAATCTTCAAACCGGTTGTCGGATTCCCAAAATTCTTTCACTGATAGGTAGCTACAATGTTCCTGAGTGTTATAGGCTATGAAACATCACGCTACGATTAAATGGCGCCGAGCAGCGGGTGAAACCGCACGAGAATAGCTAGTTTTCAATAAATTTTGTGTATCTCACGAGTTAGGTAATATAAATAGAAATATAGAAAGGTTTGGTAATGTAAATAATAATTGAGGTTTAAAATTACTTATGCAGTGATACCATGGCCTCGTAAAAACTTGCATTCTGTCGTGGTGTGGCTAAGATCACCGGAGGCCAAATACTCACCATCTCTGATCTCCAATCGTTAAATCTCCCAATTCTCAAATTCTTTCAAAACATTAAGGAATTGTAACTCCTTAATTTTGTTTGTGCTCATGGCTGGCGGCGATTGCTTATTATTCGGCAATACGATTACGTATCGTTTGTTAACCTATATTATATAAAAAAAAAACTAGAAATAATTTGCTAATCAAAAGAGAATTACTGCGTTTAATTGCCCTGCCTAATTAACATTTGAAATTGTACTAAAGTACGAGGAACTTTCTTTCCTATAGCATTAAGGAATACTGCTATGGAAACTAATTCTTAAATAATAACACGAAGCAGGTTTTGTTGGCGGCGACACGATAGTAAGGCGTAGTACAGAATGTCGTGCGGTTCTCGGCAAAAGCAAATATTAATTTGGCCGTACATATACACTACACTGACTTGGTACATTATGTTATTGCCGCTTGTGGTTCGAATTCAACAAATTTGGTGTTCGTGATCGTTTTGGTTAGAGGTTTTGTGTCTGGTGTAAACTGTGATGTCTCGTATTAATAATTATGGTCGTAACTGCTAAGTTTTGTATTTGTGACATAGTGTTATTATAAAGTTAACTTAAATGATACGCCTGTCTATACTTATAAAGAGCTAAATTTTGTTAGATGTAAGTTTTTTTTTTTATGTAGGGGGTTTTCTTTGGAACAGCTGATCGGGTTTCCTTGGTTTTTAAGTGTGGAAGAGCCAAGCTTCGGCACGAATGGGTCGGCTCGACCGAAGGAATACCACGGCCTCACAGAATACCGGCGTGAAACAACCCACAGTGTTGTGTTTTTCCCTTCCCTTTCCCTATCCCTTCCCGATCCTAACCCCTATCACCAAAAGGCCGGCAACGCACTCGTAACTTTTTGGTGTTGCGTTGTTGTTTGGGTCCATGGGCGGCGCCGATTGCTTACCATCAGGTAATCCGTTTGCTCGTTTATCGACTTTGATAGATAGATTGATAGATAGCTACAATGTTCCTCAGTGCTACAATCAAATGGAGCCGAGCAGTGCCAGAGTAGCTAGTAAAAAAATACTTTGATTTTATAAACACTGCAAGTCATCCGCATTTGTCATACAAACTTCAATAGCAAATTAACACGTAAGTAAGCTTTAAGCCTGAAAGTATGACCAAGGTCACTTTGACCTCCTGTTTGACCTATTTTACTTAACATTGTTTCTTATGTGACAGAAACTTTTTTACAGACATACACTTAATAATACATATACAATAACATTCACGATATACTTTTCAATAAAAATACACTATACAAATATATTATTTCCAAGTCAATTTACTTCACCTTGTGCCCTAGTACGAAATGCCATTTCAATCAAATTTCCGTTCCAATCAAAGGTGAGAGATTTGATTGAACGAGAACGTGTGAATCGTACGATAGTGTGTATCGGGCTTAAGTAGGTCGCGCAAGGCGGGGTGTTCGCTGCTTCGAAGCTATTTTCACCCTAACGAGCTATCGGCCTTTATATGAAAAGAGGTAATTGCGCATTATTTATATCTGAATATCAAAGTTTAATGA